AACTCACCATGTAGACCAGGCTGACCTGGAACTCACCATGTAGACCAGGCTGACCTTGAACAACTCACCATGTAGACCAGGCTGACCTTGAACTAGAAATCCACCCCACCCCACCCCCGCCTCCCGGAGGCATGTGTCATCACATCCAGCTTGTTTTTTCCCTAGAAATGAGCTGTTTGGAGCTGGGGAGATGGCCCACCTGCTGCTAGCACTGGCTGCTCTTGCTGGAAACCTAGGTTCAGTTCCCAGCACTTGCCGAGCACCTCACAACCGCCACAACCGCATGTGACCCCAGCTCCAAGACATCTGATGCCCTTGTCTGGCCTCCAGGCACACGCATGGTGCATATACATACACCATGTAGGCAAAATATTGATACACGGAATTTTTTTTTTTAATTTTGAGAAACAGTCTCACTGTTTAGATGTAGGTGGCCTGGAACTCGCTATGTAGACCAGGCTGGCCTTGAACTCACAGAGATCTGTGTGCCTGTGCCTCCCGAGTGCTGGGATTAAAGGTGTGTTGTACTGGCCATAAGGGCAGGCAGAGTTTGCATCCAAGGTCTCTCAAAGACCTAGGAAGGTCTCAGCTTCTTCCAGTGTTTGAACTTCTAAATTTATTTTAAACGATGGAGGCCGGAGAGAGGACTCAGTGGTTAAGAGCACTCGCTGCTCGCCCAGAGGACCCAGTGTCAACTTCCAGCACGCACCCACATGGTGGCTCACAACCATCTGTACCTCCAGTTCCACAGAATCCAACACCCTCTTCTGGCCACTGTGAATACCAGCCATGCAAGCTGTACACAGACATACGTGCAGGCAAAACACAGACAATTAAAAAATAAATAAATAAATGTTTCAATGATTGAATTTCAAGCCAGGATTATAGTTATTAAGAATGTTTTTAAATATTTATATTAACACATTATTTTTAATTAAAAAATGCTTGGAACATATGGAAAAGTCCCCGAGGCAGGAAAAGGATTAGTCTCTTAGAAAAACTGATTACAGGTGTGGCGGCCAGTGTCCCTGCTGTTTGCCGACTTGGAGTTCCCTGATGATCCTGGTCCAGACGACATCAGAGCGGTGACAGTCGATGATTCAGGAGTTGATGGAAGGCTGGCGGTGGCATGTGTTACCAGCTCTTAGGAGGCTGAGGCCGGAGGATCGTGAGTTCAAGGCCAGCCTGGACTGCAGAGTACATCTGAGGCTAACCTGGCTCTAGGACCAGAGTCTGTCTTGAAGAAGTGGGGAGGGGGAGCAAGTATTGGCTGGGAGCTAGGGAAACAGAAACACCATGGGTAGCCAGTGGATGTCACCCGCTCAGAGAACAGAGGAATGGGTCAGGGCTCACTTCAGCAGAAAAGCCAGCTTGTTATGAAGTCAAGCGGCACTACATGGCTTCTCATGAGCAAGGGCAGTCCCCAGCCAGCGTTTGCTGCACCTGCCTGCTCTCCAGGGACCACTGTTAGTTTGTTTGTTTGTTTGTTTGCTTGCTTGCTTGCTTTTCTCGGCAGGGCCTTGCTGTGGAACCCCGGCTGGCCTGAATTTGTTACGTAAACCGAGCTTTTCTCAAAATCATGAACATCCTGTCCTGAGTGCTGGCATCACAGGCGTGTATCACAGCACCCAAGACCCTCCTCCATCCACTCTTGCCTAATTTTATTTCCTATCCCCTGGCTGTTTCTCGAGTACTACCAGTGGACTCCAGGTCACGTGCCTCCATGCTGGACAATAACTACTGTTTTTAGGTCTCTTCCCTGTCCCACTACCTACGTCCACGTTTCTAAACGATGCACTCATTCATTACTTCTTTGATTTATTCAGTACATAGCCCAGGTCACAGCCGTCTTTCTGCCTCCACCTTCCAGGTGCTGAGATGACCAGCTCGGCCCACCATGCCTGGTTGATAGCCTCAGTATGGCGAGTACCTGTGTGCTTGCGTGTGTGCATGCATGCCTGTGTGTTGTTGTTTGGTTTGGTTTTCAAGACAAGGTCTCACTATGTAGCCCTGGCTGCCCCAGGAGCTTACTGTGTAGTCCAGACTGGCCTTGAACCCCGAGATCTGCCTGCCTCTGTCACCAGAGTGCTGGAATTTAAGACATGTGCCACCATCCCCACCCCACCCCGCCTGGGGTGTGTGTGTGTGTGTGTGTGTGTGTGTGTGTGTGTGTGTGTGTGTGTTTCTGATCCTGAGCAGAGCCGGTAGCCCAGACTGACTTAGAACTCACTGTTCTGTGGATCTGATTTTGAGCTCCTGCCCCCTCCTGCCGCTGGCGCCAAGTGCTAGTGTTGTAGCTGTACCCCCAAACCCAGCGACCCTTGATGTAAATAGCTTGTGACTTTCTAACATAGAAAGCAAATATACTTTACTTTACAAATATAAAATACTCAGCATTAATAACCTACCTTCTTCACTGGGCGGTGGTGGTGCACGCCTTTAATCCCAGCACCCAGCAGAGGCAGAGGCAGGTGAATCTCTGTAAGTTCAAGGCCAGCCTGGTCTACAGAGTGAGATCTAGAACATCCAGGGCTACAGAAAGAAACCCCATCTCAAAAAACTAATAATAATAATAATAATAATAATAATAATAATAATAAATAATCTACTTTCTTTACAAGCTCCAATTAAGTAAGTGTCTTGTATTTCCTGTGAGACTTGGTCTGTGAACACTTAGTACTGTGTACCTTGTGTAACTGTTAGTACTTTGTTTCTATTTGCTTAACTTTCTATGTATTTGTTCCTGGTTCTCCCCTGAGTTCTTTGGTGGAACTGTGAAAATATCTTTCCAGTGTCATTTTCTAAGTGGCCAAGCAGGTTTCTTCCTCCTCTGCCTAGACCCCTGCTTCCCGGCCTTCATCTGTGTAAATTCCTTCAGACCCCAACGTAAACGTCTCTGCCTCAGGGCGTCCTGCCTGCTCATTTCTGACCAGGTCTTTTGCTTATTCCTTGATCATATTTGTATCGTGTGATTTTATCTGCCTTCCTCTACAAAATTATAAACTCTTATCCTTTGCAAGAATTGTTGAGCGTTGAAGGAATCCCAAGTTAGAGCATTGGCTGTAGGAATTTAGAAAACAGGATAAATAAGACTTTTCTTTTCTTTTCTTTTCTTTTCTTTTCTTTCCTTTCCTTTCCTTTCCTTTCCTTTCCTTTCCTTTCCTTTCCTTTTCTTTTCTTTTCTTTTCATGTGGAGGACTCTCCCAGATGTTCTGTCGACAGTGGGCAATTCAGGTAGTCACGTACCCAGTGATGTTTATTGGGATGATGGGGAGTTCTTGATTTGCAGATAGCTTCAAATTCACGGTACCTTTCTTTCTCTGTGTTCTCCTGGGATGTTTCCTGTGACAGCGGAACGAAGAACAGAGCTGTGGAGAAAAGTTAAAGCATGTGCTGCAGTTTCCTGTTGAACAGGAAACGGTGGCCATAATAATGACGTGGTTCCCTGCTGCAAATTAGTATCAAAAAGGCAGGAACAGGGATTTGGATTCAAGGAAAGGAGATTCCTGGGATATGTTTAGTATTTGTATTTACTGAGCCCTTGGTAAATACCTGTCACTGTCCTTGACATTGCATATCTTTTCTCTAACTTTTCTTTCACCTGTAAGACAGGTATTGTTAGATCCTGAGGGCTGGAGAGGTGGCTCAGTGGTTTAGAGCACTTGCTGCTTTTACAGAGGACCTGGGTTTGGTTCCCAGCACCCACGTGATGACTCACAGTCAATGTAACTCCAGTTCCAGGGAATCTGATGCCCTATTTCTGCCCCCAGTGGTACCAGGCACTCATGTGGTACACAGACACCCATTCATGTATTTTTTTTTTGGGGGGGGGGGTTCCGAGACAGGGTTTCTTTGTGTAGTTTTGGTGACTGTCCTGGATCTCGCTCTGTAGACCAGGCTGGCCTCGAACTCACAGAGATCCACCTGGCTCTGCCTCCCGAGTGCTGGGACTAAAGGTGTGCGCCACTGCTGCTCAGCCCATACAACATTTTTAAAATAAATAAATCTCAAAACTTTGTAAATGAATCTGAGACTGAAGATGATCATATCACTTGCCTAGTCCTTTACAAAAGCCAGAAATAACAGAACACAGCTGAAATGGCAGCTGCTCAGGAGGCAGAGGCAAGAGGGTCACAGTCTGTCCAGCTGGGCCACAGAGCAACAACCTAGTTTAAGAAAAAGTGAAAGCAGCCAGATGTGGTGGCAGTGCACGCCTTTAATCCCAGCACTCAGGAGGCAGAGGCAGGTGGGTCTCGGTGAGTTTTAGGCAAACATGGTCTACAGAGTGAGTTCCAGGACAGCCACAGGGCTACATAGTGAGACTCTGTCTCAAAAACAAAAGAAAGGGAAGGTAGAGAGAGAGAGAGAGAGAGAGAGAGAGAGAGAGAGAGAGAGAGAGAGAGAGAGAGAGAAACTAGAATCCTGTACTCACATTTTCACAGTCCTCTACATTGACCACAAAGAAACAGAAGTTGTAATGGGCAGTGGGTAGTTTGCTGACGTGAGTTCTTACGCCTTACGTATAAATATGAAATGTAAACAGGCTAAACTCCAACAAAATCCATGAGTCAGAGGAGACCTCAGCTGGGATCAGGTTGTTGACCTCACCTAGCTGCTGTGTGGAACACAGGCGACTTTCGTCACTAGGACAGTGTAAGCAGGCTTTAATTAAGACGGTGTTAGGTTAGGGCTGGAGAGGTGACTCAATGGTTAGTAGCACTAGCTACTTAGCTGCTGGACAAATGAGAGAGTTCATGTGTACATGTGTGCACAAGCGTGTGCAGGTACATATATGTGTATGTCTGTGTGGAAGACAGAACAGCGTTGAGTGCTGCTTCTCCTCAGGTGCCGTCCATCTGGTTTTTTGAGACAGGGTCTCTCACTGACCTGGGACTTGCCAGTTAGGCTACGCTGTCTCTCTCCACCTCCCCAGTACAGGGGTTACAAATGCACACCAGTTGGCTGGCTTTTCATGTGGGTCTGATCAAACTCAGATCCCTAGTTTTGCCCAGCGGGCTCTTTAGGGACTGAATCATCACCACAGCTCCAGAGCTGACCTCTGTGGGTTTTTTGGTTTTTCGAGACAGGGTTTCTCTGTGTAGTTTTGTGCCTTTTCTGGAACTTGCTTTGTAGACCAGGCTGGCCTCGAACTCAGAGATCCGCCTGGTTCTGCCTCCCGAATGCTGGGATTAAAGGCGTGCGCTACCACCACCACCACCGCCCGGCATTTTTTTTAAAGATTTACTTATGTTAATTGTGAGTGCTTGGTTGCATGTATGTGAGTATGTGCATGCGTGCATGGGTGGTGCCCATGGAAGCCAGAAGAGGGCATCAAATAATGCCCTGGGACTGGAGTTAGACATGGTTGTGAGGTGCCATGTGCCGGCTGGGAGCACACCCAGGTCCTCTGTGAGAGCAGCGGGTGCTCTCACCATTGAACTACCCCTCCAGCCCACTTGAATCATATCCGTGTGCGTTCGTCACTAAGAACTGAACCCACAAACTTATTCATGTCGAGCAAGAGCTCTGTCTGCATTCATTCCCAGGGATTTTTATAATTGCACTGTTTTCTTGTGCTCCAGCCATCCCAAGGCCTAGTTGATAGTTCGTGTGTTCACTTTTTAGGGGGCTGTGTTGGGGATAGAACGGTGCCTTTTACATGTCAGGCAGGTGTGCTGTCACGCAGCTGCATTCCCAGCCCAGCCCGCCTCGCCGTGCTCAGGGGTTTGGCTCCCTCCGTGAGCTAGAAGCTTCATGCAGACAGCCTTCAGGTCTGTTTGTCTCCCTGGTGTCGGTCGTACCTGGCACTTCGAAGAAACTCGGTTGTAATTTACTCACTGAATTATCTAGTTTGGGGGTGAGAGTGGCATCTCGGAGTCCGTAGGGACCAGAGTTACTGTCTGTCTCCCTGCAGCAGGGACGGAACCCCAGCCACGGCCTGGTTGGTGTGCTGTTGGGGCGGGTCGTTGGATTCCCAAGATCCTGCCTCTTTTGGAGTGGGGCCCCAGAGGCCTGATGCCAGACGGACTTTGCCTTGGCAGAGGGTCTTGTCCTTGTTGTGAGGTTTGACTCTAAGTGGATCATGCAGTGTTCTGTCCCCACGTGAACCCGGTGGGGCTGCAGTTGGCATTGGGAGTGAAAAGTCACCCTCCTTTGCCAGGACCTCCCCACCTCTAGAGATGGCCCCAGGCTAGGTTGTCCAAGCAGGACATGCCCAGCCCTTCCTTGAAATTCTAAACAGCCTTCCAGATGGAGTTGGAATAGCTCCCAGGGAGGCCAGCCGGTCTTATGTAACTTCACAGACTGCCCTCTCCCCCACCCCTGCCCTTTTAAGGGGAAAAAAAACAAATTGTCCCTCGACTAGTGCTGGACTTTTTGCCACGCATCCTTCATTCTTTCCTTGCTACTCAGCGGCCCCGTGAACAGCCGATGGCCAAATTGAAGACTGGGGAGGGTGAGCTTGGAAGAAAGATGGAAAGAGGAAGGAATGTCAGAACACACTGTTCTGGGTCTCAGTCTGAGGCCCAGGCCCAGCGGTGGAAGTGGTCCCTGGGGTATTTCTCTGCATGTCCCGGAAGCCAGCCAGTGAACTTCTGGTTTCCTTTCCAGCGTCCCCACACCCTGGCGAAGGGAACTGGGGTCAGGCCGTATAAACCGTCCACACTTGTGATAGCTGCAGTCCTGTCTGGAGAAAGACATCTTTCCAGTTTAGTTTGTGAAGATTGTTGCTGAATGAGTTCAGAGTTCTTGGCTGATGGGTGTAAGTTCAGGTCACATTTTAAGCATCTACTGTGCGTCCGGCTTTAGGCTAGGTTAGGTAGCTGCAAAGATGAAGAGCTCAGATACTGGCTGTAGCATGCAGCCAGAGAGGAAAGAAATGCACGAGCTAGTTAAAATTTATAGCCCGTAGGGCCGTGTGCAAGCTCACAGTTATTTCTTTATAAGGTTGACCATCAGGTTTATAATCATCAGTGAATTATTGTGCTGATCCAGGAGTAGCAAAACCACAGGAGAATCTGAGGGCTGTGTAGGAATTATCTAGACAAATGAGAAGTTTCTAGACAGTACAGAAAACACAGGGCAGGCGGCTGAAGAGATTGGGAAGGGTCAAGTATACCTTTGAGAAGTTGGAATTCTTTAGAAATCTCTGAAGTTTTTTAATGGACCCGGAATAGTACAATTTACAAGGTACAGCATGATATTTCTATGTATTTACATAATGTAAAATGATCAAGTCAGAGTAATTGGCGTATCCTTCACCTTAAACACTTATCACTTGTGTTAGAAATATTCAAAATCCTCTCTGCTAGTCATTTTGAAATATTCAGTCAGTTATTCTGTTATGAGTTTTTAGGCAAGAGTAATGTAATAGACTTTATTTTAAAAGGGTGACTCAAGGTCTCAAGTTAGATGCTGTAAAGATTCAGACAAGTGATAATTATAGGTTAGTCTTCAGTAGCAATAGGATGGAGAAAGATGGACAGGTAAGTCTTGATTATTGAGATGTGGTAGGACATCTAAAGTAGAACACACACACACACACACACACACACACACACACACACACACACACACACACATATGTAATAGAAGCTAGAAGCCCAAAATGGGTGACTTGGATAAGATGAAAAGTTTATTTCTCCACAGCAGCAGCAGCAGTCCAGCCCTGGGCTGGTGCAGCATTCCACAGTCCTCTGCTGTCCAGGCCCTTCCAGTCTTCTGTGCTTCTTCCTGCTTCTGTAGGGACCAGCCCTCAGCAGCTCAGGAACTGAAGGGAAGAGTCACAGACTAAACACTCAATTGACTCTGTCTGAGGGAGTAAAACAGTTCTCTGGGGCCAGTGAAAAGGGGGAACACACACACACATACTCACACACACTCACACTCAAACCCACACTCACCTCCACCATGTCAGGATCTCACTTAGGTGTTGACAAATGGGCAAACCCTCAGCAGGTCAGAGAAAGTCTTGATATCTCTTCTGTTCTTCTAGCCTGATTCCCTTTTTCTTCATTTTACTTTTCCCTTACAGCTTATATACCCAAGGAAAATCTTTCAGGCAATATAAAAATTACAATGTGGTTATGTTCTATTTTTCAAGTGAATGATTACAATGAATACAAGTAAAAAACATGTTTCTCATTTCCCTTACATGATTAAACATTTTATGTATTACAGGTGAAAACAAATTATCCCTAAGAACCTACATATATTCATGTCCAAGCAACTTGTCATAGATTAACAAAGTGTAAGCAAGCAAGGTGCTTTGCTTGGCCAGTCCTTTTACTGGCAGGCTGCATTTTGCGTTTACAAAGAAAGGATCAATCCTTCTATTATTTCTCTCAAAAGGGAATCTTACAAAAAAATCTTAAAAGAATCACAAATCTAAACTTTCATGTATCAAGAACAAGTCATCTCTACTTTAAATCCTCAGAGTGCGTACCCACTCATCAACAGTTTTTTATTAAATCATATCAGGGCAGAAATGGGTACAAGGGATTAATCATCGCCTTTGATCACCAACCCACCCTAGCAAGAAAGGTTCGTCAGCCAGCTATAACCAGGCTATTGTTCCTTGACCTCGAGGAGTCCCTTGCTCAACTGTTAAAAGTGTGCCTTTCTAAACTTTAATTGTTCCCCAAGATTTTCTGTGTCAAAGCTATTACCAAAGGCATCTGAACCTAAGCTTTCTAACAATCTGCATGTCTAGATTCTTCCTAAGGGCGATGGTTGAATCATTAATCTGCTCCAGCAGCAATGTTGGGAAGAAGTCAGTCACTGTTATTGTAAGTACTAGTAACTCTGCCCAGTGCGGGCTAGAAACCTCCTGAGAGTTTGTGTACAACTTATGGATGATGAGATGTGATGACCACAAAGGCAATAACAGAGCTGTGCTCAATGGCAGCATGAGATCGTCTGCCTCTCCAAGGCTCACTCGGGTGTGGCTTTGCTGACCGCCCAGTCATGTTCCCTGAGTTCCACAACTGCTTGCTGTTGCCTGTGTGTCCCCTGACAGCTTCCCCCAGGCCATCTTTCTGGCCCTAGGTAGTAGCTGTCACACCTACCCCACTAGCAGTGGGACAGGGAAGAGAGGAAGGAAGACTCCCCAAAGCCTGCGCACTTCCTCTACAGGCATGTCATTCCTGCAGGGGACGTGGGAATGCAGCATTCACCTTGGACAGCCGTGTATTCAGCAAGTTACCAAAGCTGACACAGAGTGAGAATGAATATTTGATTGGCAGCTAACAGTCTGGGGTTTGGGAAGGTGGAGAACTAACTGAGCACAGCCCAAAGTGTTTACAGAATAACAGAGGTGACACCAAGTACTTGAAGAGTCTTTTAGCCGCTAGGCAAAGATGAGCCTATTTTCATCTTGTTTTATGCTTGTGAAGAGTAAATAAACATTAGTTCAGAGAAGCTGCACGTTTAAATGTGACTCTACCTGGATTGACTTGATGTCCGTCACTACCATAGGAAATTGCTGTGCGTCTGATTTGTTGTGGTGATATATTGTGTATCAAATAAAGCTTGCCTGAGGATCAGAAGACAGAGCCAGCCACTAGATTAAACACAGAGGCCAGGCAGTGGTGGCACACACCTTTAATCCTAGCACTCAGGAGGCAGAAATTCGTCTGGATCTCTGTGAGTTTGAAGCCACCCTGGACTACGTGAGATTGATTCAGTCTGGGAGAGAAACAGAGCCAGGCAGTGGTAGCACACACCTTTAATCCCAGCACTTGGGATCTCAGGCCTTTGCTCCCAATACTTGGGAAGCACACACACCTTTAATCCCATCACTAGGGAGGTTGAGACAAGAAGTGAAATGGCTGGGTGGAGAAAGGCATAGAAGGTGTGAGGAGACAGGAACTAAAAGCCTTTCTGCTGAGGACTCAGGGACATTCAGAGGATTCGTGGAGTTAGGATCTCACCTTCCATTCGGACTGGGGACTCGGTAGCGGTAAGAAGTTTCTCTAGTGGCTTGTTCCTTTGTCTCTCTGATCTTTCAGCATTTACCCCAATATCTCTGGCTCTTGTAGCTAGAGTTCTCCTGCCTGGCCCAAGCTCTATTTTCAGGATGAATTTCTTACTTCTACATCTTTGAAATAAATTATTTTTCTTCTTTCTTTGGAAAACAAAAAGGGAGGTTTGGGATTTAGCTCAGTGGTAGAGTGCTTGCCTAGCAAGCGCAAGGCCCTGGGTTCGGTCCTCAGCTCCAGAGGGGGGAAAAAAAAGAAAAGACAGTCAGGACAAATCTCTGTCACCCACCAGTCCCACAGCTGCTCAGACCCAACCAAGTAAACACAGAGACTTATATTGCTTACAAACTGTATGGCCGTGGCAGGCTTCTTGCTGTTTGTATATCTTAATTTAATCCATTTCTATAAATCTATACCTTGCCACATGGCTCATGGCTTACCGGCATCTTCACATGCTGCTTGTCATGGCGGCGCCTGGCAGTGTCTCTTCCACCTTCCTGTTCTTTCTTTTCTCCTCTCTGTTAGTCCCGCCTATACTTCCTGCCTAGCCACTGGCCAACCAGTGTTTTATTTATTGACTAATCAGACCAATTTGACATATAGACCATCCCACAGCAGGCTCTGGTTATTATTTTTTTAATAAGACTGTTTAGAATTTGTGCAGCAATTTGTAGTATCTTGTCATTTGTTAATAGTCATATTATTGAGAAGGGTGAACCAACAGATTGCTATTTTAGAACAAAACCTAAACAAGTCTCAAATGAAGGCATTTACTCAGTGTTCTTCTCTACGGAGGATATTAGCAGCGTGTTAGAGTCATGAGAACAGGATTTGGGAGTGAGTCAGACCGGAGCTCTGAGCCCAGCCCTGTGATCCTGGATAAATGGAATCCCAGACCGCCTTGGTTTCCTCAGCTGCAAAGCATGGCTAGACTATCTACTCTGCACAGCGACTGTAAAGATTAGAAATGTGTTCACAACCCACAGCTAGCACTGTGGGTAGCAGTGTATCTAATAAGGAATGGGTAATAGTATAAGGATTAAGTATTTAGCTGTCAGCCATTTGTTCCTTTACTGAGACCAGGCTGCCCTCGAACTCATAGAGATCCATCCTGAGTGCTGGAATTAAAGGCATGTGCCACCACCCGGCTGATTTTAACATTTTTAAAGGGTTGCACATTTTGAAATTTCTTAACAGTGAATTCCAATGTTCTTACCACAGACAATGATTAAGTACTTGAGATGATGTTAATTCATTTGATTTACTTATTCCACATTGCACTCATAAATCATAACATCACTTTGAACCTTAGAGGTATACAACTATAAATGGTCAATTTACAATACAAACATTTTTTAAGAAAAGAAAAACCCAGGAGTACACTGCATAACTCTATTACCCATGGAGCCCAAATATCTGCCCTCTGGTCCTTCACAGCTGGAGCTTGCTGATCCCTAAGGCCCCTTCTCTAAGGCAGGTGGGCATCACTAGAGCTGACAGGAGAGGTTCAGATGTCTGTTTGGAGTCTCAGAAAGGCGGAGGCAGTAACAGTGCATCGGTATCGATGAAGAACAGGTTTCTCTTTTCCGTCTCTGAGAGTTCTAGCGACCTGGCCGGCTGAGGAGTTGCAGGACTGGAAAGAATAAAGGCTTGTGTAGGGCTTGGGGTCCAGTACTGCCTCTGTCCCGGCTGTGTGCTGGTGCTCAGTCCTTGTCGGTGTGGCTCTCTGGGGCCCTGTAAACTAAGTCCAGGAACTCCTGCTCCTGACTGTACTTGAGGTGGAGCCCAGCCTCAAACCAGTGTCCTGGCGCGTCACAGGCAACACAGAGCAGGGTGAGGGGAGGAGTTCCCTGCTCTTCTGTTCCTACCTTCTTTTCTGCGTTAGCGGAAACCGTTGCCTTCTGCCTGGCTAAGCAGACGCTTAACTATTTCACCTGTGTCTCAAACCCACCTTCCAGTATGGCCGCCGTAGCCTAGAAGGGGGAAAGCCTGGAGGGAGCCGAGGTGCCCTACCCGATTGTGTCCATAGTTACAGTCTGAAATGTTTCGTTCCAGTACTTTACCTCATAGCATTTACATATCCTGCTCTCTATATTTTTCAAATTTTGTTCTTGCTTCACCACCCGAAGATAACTATGAGTAGACCCTTCTTCAGGGGGCGGACCTGGAACTTGTGAGGACAGGTAGCCTGCCCCGCGTGACCCAGCACATCAGAACAAACACCAAGAACAAAATCCGGGTTCCTGTCCCCGGCATCCTGCCACGATCCTAGGGGTGCTGGCTTCCAGAGGGAGCTGCCTCAAAGGCTTATCACTGGTGATCCAACCTGGTTGTCTCTGGGGCTGCATCGTTCTGATGTCCAGCTAGATAAGCCTTGAATGACAGGAAAAGAATGCATTGACCGAGTTCGCACTCTGGCTCCTTGTGCGCTGATGTAGCTGTGAGTCAGCTCCAGCAGGGAGGTGAAGGAGTCCTCGTCGGGCGGCGTCGTTACTGTGTGCTTGCCTGGGCTTTTGCACTTCAGCATTCCTACCTGATGTGTGGTGCATTTTTGTCATTCTCCAGCAGTCTGCCGTGTGATGAGGGGCCCCTCATTAGGTCTGTCTACATCTATTTACATAAGCTGCCCAGCTGTCTGCTCCCTCACAGCACTGTCTGCCCCACGACGGGGCAGGGACCAGGGAGGCAGGCGATGGAAACAGCCTTGGGGCTCCACGTGCTGTGGTCAATGTATATAAGGTTACTAGGATCCCACTCCTCAGGCCTTTGGGAAGAGGTGACGTGGACACTGGCTTCTGGCCAGACAGCTGGTTTCTTGGTGGCTCTAGCCTGTTGTGTCCCTTAGGAGTGCAGCTGTACTGGTACAAGTTTCCAGGAAATGTGATGTTCCTCCTGGAGACTACCGATCAGTTGAGCACGGTCTCAGCCTGCCATTTATCTCAGGTGCCCTCTACTATCCTCCCAAGTATTCCTTTCTTTTTCTCGTCAGCACACACCGCACTAGTCTGTGGCTTGTGACAAGGCCAAGCTTGGGGATGTTGGGTGGAAATCTCCCCTTGCCTCTGTTCAGATCATTTCAATACAACCAGTTTGTAAGTGTGTGTATATATATGTCCCGACCGAAGCAACCATAGGCTCCTCTGGAAGAGGCCTACCCAACTGAGGAGAACACTCTGGGCAGGAGCCTTCACCTTGTGGTCCATGTGATCGCAGAGATTTGGGACTAGACACCTGGACACCTGACATCTGCTTGCTCCACTCCCCCATCTATTAACGCTGAACTGTTTTCCACACAGCTTGCTTCCTTCAGGACCCAACTTAGCAACCTGGAGAAGCCTTAGGCCACTCCTCTAGCAGGAAGCTGCCCTACATTTGGACAGTAACCAGTAGAACTTGATACTGACGCCAGAGTGTAAAAATAAACACCTCGTACAGTTCTGTCTTAATCCATCGCCATCGGAGTGGCTATTATTAGTCTGTAGGCTGAAGGAGCAGCTGTGATTGGGCGCACAACAGCCTGGACAGACCTATCCTGCCATCTTGGGATCAGACTGTTCCTCCCCTTCACCTGCTGGGAGCTGAGCTGGGCCCCGGAGAAGGGCCTCCAGTCTGGGAGCGTGCCTTACGGCAGGTCACACTAGTGTGAGAGTAGAGTCTTGGCTCTGGGAGGTAGGCTGAGACTCCAGGACGGCTACCAGCGGAGATCTAGTGGACACAGGGTCACCAGGCCTAGATCAGGGGCAAAAAGAAAGGGGCGTGGCTGTCCTTCCATTTCCTTTGACCGTTTTTGGTTTTTGAGACAGTGTCTCTTTCAGTCTCGGCTGGCCTCAAACGTGCTATGTAGCTGAGGCTGGCCTGCCTCTCTGTCGTGCTGGGATTACAGGTGTGCATCAGCATTCCAGTTTATTCCTTTGACGATTAGATAATTTGCCCACAAATACCTCAGACCTACAGGCTTTAGATTTCTCTGGAAACTGGGATAGGAGAAGAGAAACAAGAACACTGGTCATCTGCCAGAGGCAGGGTGATAACAGTGACGTATTGCTGAGCACTTATGTTAAGTATGACGTGTACTCTTGAATTCTACCTCAAGCCTCTCAGGGAATACCACAACAGTTTACAGCCTGAAGTTTCCCAGAATTCCATAGCTGGCAGGCTGGGACTCAGATTGGAACCGAGGCCCGTCTTAGCACCAAGTCCTTGCTCTGTACAGAACCTAACTAACCTCTTGAATCTTCAGGACAAAGCCAAACGCCACACACCTGCTTCTTAAATTGTTCAAGTGAACAAAACAAAACTTACTTGAACCTCGGTCTTGTAACTAACGCAAATACGGGAGACAGTCCCCATGCTGTGCCCCGAGCATGGAGAGCTGGACTCTGGCAGCTGCCACCTAAACTCTCCATCCAGGAAGGGCTTCCCCCGTGACAGAGGAGTCCAAGAGACACTGACGCCACTGCTGAGAATGTGGCCGGACTGGAACCAGGTTCCCCAGAGGAGTGAGGCTGCCATGGCAGGCACGCTGAGGCAGGGCTCTGCTGGGAGGGAGGTTTCCTTGAAAGGCAGCTAGGCTTCCCTCTGCTCTCCCCCGCCTCCCCCACCCTGGCCCCACAACTGGTTTGTGTAATTCAATCTAGATTCTTCTCATAGCCACTTCTCGATGCATATGTGCCCTTTTATTTACAGCTCTGGACACACTGATTGGCTAGCAGTTGGGCAGCCTGCACGCTTCAGTCCACTGTCTGGGAGGAGGGGGAGCGGAGAACACTGTGACTTTGCTTCCCAGAGCCCAGGATAGGCAAGGTGTTGACCACACTGGACAGCTGAGCAGCAGCAGTCCGGGGCCTTGTTTGATCCAGCTGCCTTCCTCCTGCAAATCGGGGTTTAAAACTGTGTCCAAGCAAAGCAGGCCGCCCTGGGGTTCAGCGCCCTGTTCCTGCCTGGTCCCGGTGTTCCTCGCTTCCTTCCTTCACCTGCGTCTGGCACTGGGAGACTGTCCTGTAGGCCTTGTGACGGCTGCGTTCTCCCCCCCTCCTTCTGAAGAGCTGTCTGTCAAGGTAGGACCTGAACCTTGCCTCGTTCCCTCGTGTCCTCCTCTCCTCTCCTCGCTAACCCGCCCTACCCTCAGAAGAGAGAGGATTTGCAGCAGGTTCTCAGCCTCTGCAGACATACCTGTGGGCCGGCCCCTGAGAGTGAGGCGTGTGTGTCCTGCACAGTCACTTTGGAGAGAAGAGGCGAGGAGGAGGAGGAGGCCGTTCATTAACACCTTGCATAGGAACCTTCCCTGGAGTTAGGATTTGGATTTGCTTTACTTTATAATTGTACCTGAAAGGACCCATAAGAGGTCTTCAAGATGACCAGGGGCTAGAAGCTGAGCTAAGGAAGGAAGATGGCCTGATGGGAAAGCAACACCCGCTGGCTAGACCCGTGGAAAAGATGCTTTTCTAGGGATAATCCCTTCCCCACAGAAAGAGACCCT